CCCCCCCTCCTTTTTCAACCAATCGTCAGCATCCGACACGCTGTGGTGAAATTATTAACATTAATCAGGTGAGGAGCTTCACAGGAGGAGTGAGGGCGGGACGACGAAGCCACGTGGGATAAATTAGCTAACGTGTGATCACGGGTCTGGAGGTGAGCGAGGGCGTTGATTAGCAAGTAAATCGAAGTCGCCGATGAAAATTTGTCAGATGGAAAAGCCGCTGGAGCATTTATTCAGTATCCTTGAGATGTGGGTACAGGCACATGTACGAGTAGGCCCTCGGTCCTCATGACCGGGATGTCTCTCATTAGAAATGTTTTTTGTTTTTTTTTTTTTCCCCACACTACTTGTGACACCTAAATCTTTGCTAATAAACTACTATGCTACACTAGTAACACGACTAAATACAACTAGTAGATATGTGTCATGCACTCATGGCACCAACATGGCCACTAACACATTATATTTGCCTCACTAGTAATATAGTTGCCCTACGAGTGTACCAAAGCTAGCATGCAGAAATGTCACGGAAGGCAGTAATTGGGGATAAAAAAAAAAAAAAAAAAACGTTTTGTTTTTTTTTCCTACAAGTGCACTGAACTTGATAAGGACTAAATGCTCAAATGTCTTTGCATACAGATGCGCAGGGAAAAGAAGCACCCGTCGAGGCTTTTTGCAACCTGATCCACCGTCGGGATGCTGAAATGAGGTTGACTCCAGCTAATGCACGTGATTAATGCACCAACTGTTTCAGCATCGGGCTATTTGCAGATCTCACGCACGCACGCGCACACACACACACACACACAATGCTGAGTCTTGTTGCGTGCCAAAGTGGACAACCAGTAAGAGCTGAGTAACGCTGGACACGAGCAGACGTGAATGCGTGTGTGTGTGTGTGTGTGTGTGTGTGTGTGTGTGTGTGTGTGTGTGTGTGTGTGTGTGTGTCCTTTTTCCACTTCAACTTTTTACTTAAACTTTACTGGTACTCCCCATGAGTCCCTCGGTGGTCAACAAGTGAAAAGAAAGTTCACTTTAGCTCTCCCCCGCTGCACTTTGCTGCCATTAACACCGATCACCTCGCCGCGAAGAGTAACACAAAAAAGCTTTTGATCCTCGCACGCCCGTGTGTTGGCGCGTGCGTGCATGTGTGTGTGTGTGTGTGTGTCAATTTGATTTTCAGCATCCCAATGTGCAAAGAAAAAAATGTACCGTATGAATGAACGACCTCGTGTGGTGGCAAAAATTTGGGTTCAGTGACAGTGAAAATCCATAGCCAACTTTTGTATACGTTTGTTGTCTTCACCTTCAATGAATGGCCTATTTTAAAACTGTTTTCATATATAGGGCGCAACGCATTCTAAGGTGCACAGAATCGAAGCTACAATAATGGCTGAGGTTGCGTTGTACATCCACTAGATGGAGCTACGCTAAAGGGAATACAATACAATGCGGCTTTATTCATATCGAGCTTTCACAACCGCTGCAGCTGCAACAAAACGCTTTACAGAACATTTAAAATACTACGTCCAAGAAATCCGAATATGGATCCATATATAAGGCGCAACGGATCAAAATGCGCAGGGTCAGCTTCTGAGAAAATTGAATGCTTTTAGGTGTGAAAATATGGTACGTAACAGCCCAAGGGCCCGATTTTACATCTGAGATCAGCTTTCTAGCAAAAACACCATTATTTTGAAAATGGAGAGACCAATCATTTTTTTTAAACCTGAAAATGGAAGGTTTGCCATTTTGCTTCCAGCCTAACAGCAACAGATGCCAATACCTTGAGTGGCAAATTTCCCGTGAAGACAAAACAGAGACACAGCGGCACAATGTTGTCGTCTAAAACTCGAGAAACTATTGGACTGCCACATGTTGATTTCTTTCATTCCCGGATTAGAAACTTGCTACCAGGCACATTGCAGAATTTCTCGCAAAGTGGCAGGCCGTAAATCTAACTCACACCTGGCCCAATGACAGCAATGACTTGTGGGCCACAGGTGCTCAGATCTGGAAGGATTACGGGTTTGGCCAAAAGGAGCACGATATATAACGGTCACACTGTAAAAAGTTGTAAGTTTCAAAGTAGGCCACAACTCATGGCCAGACGCTCACATGCAGACTAACTGGCCACGTTGGGCCAAGCGCACTTACAGTAAGCCCCTGGCATCACTCACTAGGCTGGTAGAAGTGCTTAAAAAAAGGTTACGTGGGGATGTCGACGACAATCCTAATTTCCAGATAACCAATGGTCCTGATGTGACACTTTTTTTTTATTTTAAAATAGATGGAGGACAGTGAGCTATCTGTATTATTAAGAGGTACCGCGTCAATACAAGCGGTGCAAATCGGTGAGGGACGGGGACAGCTGGGCCTGGACAAGAGGAAACAAGGAAGACTGTGACGGGGGGGAAACGCTGGTAGGAGGATAGAAAGACAGCTGCAGCCGTGTTGTTGTCCGCCGCACACGTTTATCTCGGCGCACATCTCGCTCACCCCCCCCCCCCCCCCCCCCCCCCCCCCCCATTTCAAGGTCAGGCTGCAGTGTCGCATGGCCCGCAGGAGGCTCAAAACAACAAACAAACTCCGCGCTGTAAATTGCGATGAGGAAACACGTTCAAACTGGGGTTCGATGAGGTGAAAAGTCATCTTACAGAGAGGAAATCTGATTTCGTATCCAGCTGTGGATCGCTGACCCCTTCAACTTGGTGTCACCCCATACTCTGAGTGACATGCATAGCCAAACCCGATCCCTTCATTCATTGACTCTTCAAAGATGGACAGGAGTTTTCACACCACTAAAACCAGCGCATAGGGAGCTTCCTCAGATTTTGTCCCGTAGATGCGGTGAAGTGTGTGGGTCTTTACCTCACTCCGATGCTCAAAGTGCTCCTCCTGAAGGTCTGGTGGAGACAGAGTGATGGCAGACAGACTCATCCCAGGACGCGGCTCATTTCTGGGCCTTCCTCTGACTAGCCACTAGCCTGCAGAAAAACAAAAAAGCAGACTTTATTCAGGCAACCTTGGCAGATCTTCAGATGCATGGCAACCATTATGTAAGCAGAGTCGAGGTGAGGATTGTGAAGAGGGGGTAATACTGCCCCCATCTGGCGATGCGTGCATTTTGCAAGAGGATTAAAAAAAAAAAAAAACGCCAAACGTTTTTGTTGTCATTTGTTAGCTCAAAAAATACAAAGCATTTTTGGATGGATGTTTTCACTTTTTGTGGAATATTTTCCGGTAGTAGACAGGTAGCACAGTGGGATGGATTGCTTGGACAGAAAATGGTTGAATCGGGTAATAATACATGGAGCGTAATGATTAAGGAGCAGTTCATCCATTTTGATTTTGAGCAGAGCCTCTGATCTTGAGATCGCCAGGTTTAGTTTTTTCTGCGACGCACTTCTTGTGATGAGGTCAGCGATACGAGTATTGATTTTGGCGTAAGTGGGGCAGGTTTGCCAAGGCCGTCTTTCATGAAACGGGCATCTTTTTGCAGGCAGTTTTTTTTTTCTTTCTTGTCAATGTTGAGAAAAATGGACGCCGAATAAGGAAATACAGCGGTGACTCTACTTACGAACGTCTCTTCATACGATATTTTCAAGTTACGAAACTCCTCAACAGGAAAATATTGCCTCTTGTTATGAAAGGTAAAAATACAACTCAACTGTATTTATAGAGCACTTTCAAACAGCCATCGCTGCATACAAAGTGCTGTAAATGGAGCAACTAAGATACAACAGCAAAGCAATAAATCAGTAACAAAGACGGTAGAAAGCACCAAACAGTAAAACTAAGATCAAATCTCATGCATTTGTTACATATTTGGATGCATTTTTATGCTTTAGAAAAACATTTATGTCTGAATTTTGGGAGGGCTTGGAACGGATTAGGGCATTTACATGGAAAACGCGTCTTGACTTACAAAATTTTCTACTTAAAAAATTTCTTCTAGAACCAATTCATTTCATAAGTAGAGGTACCACTGTACGGTGATAGCCTGTTATATCGCTGTTCATAGTTCAAATTTTTTTCTATGTATCATTGCGCTAAAAGGTGTCCCCAAGCATCCCAGATGTTCTGGCCCTTCCCAAAAAAGGGACATAGAGCGTGACGTTTTGGGTTGAAACGAACTCGAAGGTTTGCGATTACATTGATTGCGACGTCTTAAATAATCACTGACGTGATGGAACCATCACATGGAATTGATTCTCGATGATCTTGACGCAAAAAAAAACGCATAACCTTGTGTCACCTCTGATGGGAACACCCACGGGGTGCAGACGAGCGCGAGACAATTAATCCTCGCGTTGGATAGATGACACGGCCGTGGCCGCTTATGTCCTCACAGCGGTCGCCACACTTAAAAGCGGAGTATCGGATTGCGACTTCTTGCGCTTATCAAGGTTGCGCCGCTCGGGTCGGGGCGCATCGCAGACAATTCCGCGGTCGCACTGACTGTACAAGGTTAGTCCAGGTCTTGACTGTGTTCCGTCATTTTGGAGAGTTATGCTGCAGTGGAGGGTTGAAGGAGAAAGTGGGAGCTGTCAATCAAAATGTCAGGCTGAAACTGGGTCAAGGAGATGGAGCGATCATTACCTCCTCCAAGGAGGTTGCGCGTTTGGCTTCAAGGTCTCGCAAAAGGGGCATAAATTACACTGGGAGCTTTTACTGGTCATTGTTCAGTCCTTTTTTTTTTTAACTGTCGTTTTATTTTATGGGTTTATGACAGTATGCTTACTTTCTGTAATGCCCTCACATGTGGGAGAGGAGAACCACATTCACCAGTGTACTTTTCCGGTGTTTATTGACCGCAAAAGGCCTCTAAGCAGTATTTTCTTTACATTTTATGCTTACAATTTTTGGGGGTATTCAAACGAAGGGGTGTCCCGATACCACTTTTTCATTTCCGATACGATACCGATATTGCAGCCTACAGTACGGTCTGATACCGATATTGAAACAATACGATACCAGTAGATACAGTATGATACATGCATTTATTTTTATTTTTTTGTATTAAATATTAGACCTGATCAAATGATGCTTTTCAAACAAAGAACAACAGTCAACTGTTTAGATGACATGCGCTCTGCATCATGCTCGATCCAGACGATGCTGGAGAGAAGAGCAGGAGCGCAGTCTGGAATAGACTTCTTGGATATGAGTGCTAATATCGGAATTGACGACTGATAAATCAGATACGTTTTTTAAGTTTTTTTGGGTGGGGGGGGCCAATATCATTATGGGATCAGGACACTATTATTAATACATGTTTATAAAGTGTATTGTAATAAATTTAGACTGACATTAGCGAGAATTCTCAAAATGTATTCTCTGGCTGCTTGTTGGGACGTTGAATGAAAATTAAAAAAACAAAAACAAACAAACAAAAAAAAAAGCTTCTTTGTTGTTATAATTTGCCCCGTGTGATGCTTGGCCCACTTTTCCAGCATGCTCACAATTGTCTAAGCACGCGTACATAGAACATGATTTGCTGCTTCAATTCTTGACTTTTATTCGTCGGGGATTAGGTGGCAGATGACGCCCGAGCCATCAGAAGAAGCAAAGCCGAGGAGAGAACGCAAATGCGATTCTTTGAAAGAGAGAGAACGAGCGATGAGCTGAAGAGTTGGCAAATGCGCCGAGAAACAAGCTGTAATCGCTGACCTCCAAACTTCCAACGCAAGACAAACGGCCGTGATTAATGAGAGCCATTCGTCTTGGCGGCAAAGCAAAAGATGTGTCGGAACCGGCGTTCGCGAGTGCTGCTTTGACAAACCCCATCTGCAGATTATATTTCACTCCCGTCTTGTTAACGCACATCGAAGAATAAATGGAAGTCAGGCTCAGTGCAGTTTAGGCCACTAGAGGGCAAACTTCTGACCGCTACAGTCATGGCTCGCCGGATCCGTGTTCAATTTTCTGGATTCGCTCGATCTCAGATTATAAGAATTTTATTTCATGGGTTTTGGGCTATTTGGCGTGATTTTTTTGCAGGGATCATACGTTAAAACAGACTGCCATGGCAGTAAGGGTGAGCCAGGAGGAAAGAATGCATAAAAGAGAGAAAATGTCCAAAGTTCGGGATCGTTTTACACTTAAAAAAAAAAAAAAAAGCAGATAAAGTTCCATGTGTCTACAGCAACAGAGAATGGGCTTCAGCGACTGCACCTGTATGGTAAAGTCAACACCGCTGGCTAATTTAATATCGCCAACCGCCGCTCGTTAGAATGACACGTAAAACGCTCAACAGGTGGTCAAGACCGCGTAACTCCGCACGCAGACGGGCTAATGGTTAACCACTTAACAGAAGGGGGCAACGCAGCCAACTCGACACTCATTTGACGACTCCAATGTCACTTAAGGACCCCCCCCCCTCCCTCCTCACCCCTCCCACCACCACCGATGCAAGCACGGGGAGAAACTGCAAACTTTACACAGGAAGCCACAGTAACAAATGAAATTCAGATGTCAAGCTCTCCACTGTAACCCCCCCCCCTTTATTGAAG